ACATATATATATATATGAGACACAAATAAAAAGGGCATTAGAGATGATGATGTCATCAGGAAGTGACTTTTTTTCTCTACAGGTCGGAGTTTCCGGACCAGCCGTATCGTCCCGTACGCCGCCAACCTTCTCTTTGTTCTGTACGACTGCCGGCACGGCCCGCGACTACAGCTCCTCGTCAACGAGACGCCGCTCAGGTTCCCGGGCCTGCCGGCCGAGGATGCTCCGCTCTACCGGGAGGTCCGGGCCGCGTACCGCCACCTGCTGGACGGCTGCGACTTCCGCAGCGAGTGCGAGGGCCGGGCTGAGGGCCGGGGTCCCAACACGGAACTCTGACCCCCGTGACCTCATCTGCACTACGACCTTAAGCCACTAAGCCCCACCCACACAGCCATTGACCAATCAGAGACTGAGGCGGTTAAAACTGTTTCAGGTTAAACTTCGGATTGTAAAAAGTTTCAGATGTTTTCTTGATGAGTCTGAATCAGATCAGGTTTCATCTTCTCAGAGAACCAGTTCCTCCTGAACCAAACATCGAATGGTTTCTACGACTCTAAAAATAAAAGTAAAGTTTTATAAAGTCTTGACAAACATTTTTCTGAGTAAATCAGAGTTTTAATTTTAGAAACAGAAAAAGTCAAATCAATCCGACTTTGATCAAATTACGAACTTAATTTTACTGAAACTTTTTTTTGTTGAAGCTTTGACTCTTTTTTTTCAGCTGATTCAGATTTTATTGGGACTCTTTCACAATAAGAGCCCTTTATTGTGAAAGTCTGACATCAGTGCTTCCTGTTTGGTATTTAGCTTTTCTGTCTTCAGGGTGAAAACTGTCTTTAAATGTCTCGATGCCAAATTAATTTATTTTATTTAATTGGTGCTTTAAGTTTGTTGAATGTTTCAAAATAAAAGCTTTAATAAAGATTTTTTTTCATTATTTAAACAAAACTTAACATGTCTCCTGTTTGTGAAGTTTTTAGTTCATTAAGTAATAAATAAGTTCATTAGGATTAGAACCTATCCGAGTCACCAGTGAGGAAAATACAGAGTAAATAAACACAAACAAATGTTTGTTTACAGAATGAAAAGAAGGCCTTATGGTTTAGAACTTTATAAACAATGCAATAAAACAAAACAAACCCATTTACAAAACATCCAAACCCAAAATATTGGTGAAAAATAAATAAAAACTTTTATTATATGGAACATCAAAGGTTTTAAGGCTCCGCCCAAAAGTTACGTAAAATCAAATAAAATGTTTGATCAAATCTAAATGACTTCATGATGATAATCAGTCCCAACTGATCAGGAGCTGATATATTATTACGTTTTATGTAAAAACATGTCATTTGATTTGATTTCTTTACAGAACAAAACAAAAAAAAAACCGTAAAACTTTATATCTTTTTATCAATAATAATCCTATTGATTATTATCTGTAACAGAGGATTTCACAATAAGAGCTCCTCAGTGTTTCTAACAGCAGAGAGGGCTGATGGGAGCGGCGGAACAGGAAGCAGCAAAGGTGTTGCGGTGAAAGTCGTCCCTCCGGAAACATCAACAGAACTTTGGTTTCACAAACAGCTCCTTTGTCCGTCTGTGGAAGTAGAATCCTCAACAGGAAGTGGCGGCAGCGGGGGAGTCACGTGACCCCTCGTGTTCAGTCCAGAGCAGCGTGCAGCAGGGCGCCCTGACCGCCGGCCGTCTTCGTTTGCTTCATCTTGGAGACGGCGGTCTGCAGGTCGGTCTGAGCGATGGGACGGATGGTTTCCTCCGTGACGCTGACAGGAGGACACCAGTGTTAGTGTGTGTGTGTGTGCGCGCGTGTGTAAACAGGAAGTGAGGCTCACCTGTCGCTGTGGTGATGGACGAAGTCTCGGACGCAGAGCAGAGCAGCGTCGCGACACATCTCTCTGAGGTCACTTCCTGAGAAACCCTCCGTCTCTCTGGCAACTTCTCTGAGATCCACAGCGGAGTCCACCTGAAGGAGGGATTATCGGTCAGCTGATCGGTCAGTCGGTATTTAGCGAGCGCACACGCGTCGACAGTGTAACTGTTAGCGGAAGCGCTAACATCGTGGCATCGTGTAACACAAATAACATTCCAGCCGGATGAAAGTGCGCTGATTATAACAGTGTGTTTTTTACAAAGCTTTGAGGCAGATAATTTACCTCGAGGAGTTTTTGTAATCGAATTAGTCGAGGAACCGTTTTATCTCTAAATGACTCGTCTGGAACTGTTTTTATAGAAAAGAGAAACTGATCCAGGACCAGGAGAACTTACACTCTCGTTGTCGAGGATGAGTCTGAGGATCTGCTCCCTCTGCCTCACACTCTGTAGGATCAAACAACATCATCATCATCATCATCATCCTCAGCGTTCTGCAGGGATCCTGTAAAAACCCCAGGAGACGTACCGGCTGGTTGATGTGGAACCTGGTCGGCATCCGTCTCAGGATGGCAGAGTCCAGGTCCTGAGGACGGTTAGTGGCTCCCATGATGATGACCTGACAGTGGTGGTCCGTGTCCAGGCCGTCCCACAGGCTCATAAACTGAGCCTTCATCATGGCCGTGGCCTCGTGGTCCGAGGTGGACCGGTTCCTCAGGAAGGAATCTGTCCACAGAGACACAGGCAGAGACACCTGCTAGAGACAAGGAGGTACCAGAGACAGGACATCCCTGTGTGTGTATGTCCATGTGTGTGAGTGTGTGTCCGTGTATCCTCACCGATCTCGTCGATGAAGATGATTGACGGCTGCAGCTTCAGGGCCAGAGAGAAGACGGCGGCAGCCAGCTTCTGGGACTCTCCGTACCATTTGTCCGTCAGCGTGCTCGGCTGCAGGTTGATGAAGCGAAACCCCGCCTCTTTTGCCGTTGCCTTGGCGATCAGCGTTTTACCACATCCAGGAGGGCCGTAGAGCAGCACGCCTGTTACCATGGAGATGAAATGAAAACTTTTTTCTTTTTTTTTTTTACATTTTTTATAAAGTTTAAATAAAAACATTCAGTTTTTTTTTTAATTTTCATACAAAACGTGACACATTTTATGGAAATTAATTTGTATAAATTTGAAGTTTTATTATTTAGAAATATATTTTCAGTGTTTTATAGATGAGTTTGACTGTTGGTGTAATATTATTTACAAAGTAAAACTTTTATTATTTTAATTCAACAAAGACTGAGTTACAGACAAAAAAATGATTTGTTGACCTGTTTGAAAGCTTGTAAACATTGTGACATCTCCTACACCTCAGCCCATAGGTGAGCAGGTGAACAGGTAAACAGGTGAACAGGGAGTGTGACCTCTGACCTTTGGGAGGCTGCAGCAGTCTGGAGTTCTGGAACAGATGTCTCTTCTGAACAGGAAGTATCACCGTCTCCTTCAGCTCCGTGATGACCTCGTCCAGACCGGCGATGTCCCTCCAGGTGATCTGTGACACGTTCAGGTCAGAGGTCAAACACCACTCCTCATCCTCAGCTGTGTGTGTGTGTGTGTGTGTGTGTGTGTGTGTGTGTGTGTGTGTGTGTGTGTGTGTGTGTGTGTGTGTG